CTTTGTGGAAAGAGGCTGTTAATAATGAAATTGAATCCATTATGCAAAATCATACTTGGGAATTGGTGGATCTTCCACCAGATTCTAAACCTCTTGGATATAAGTGGATATTCAAGAGAAAAATGAAAGCAGATGGTTCAATTGACAAGTATAAAGTAAGACTTGTAGTTAAAGGTTACAGACAAAAGGAAGGTCTGGACTATTTTGACACATATTCCCCTGTGACAAGAATAACATACATTCGCAAGCTTATTGCTATAGCAACGTTGTTTAATTTAGAAATACATCATATGGATGTTAAGATAGCTTTCTTAAACGGTGATCTAAATGAAGAGATCTATATGGAGCAACCTGAAGGGTTTGTAGTATCAGGGCAAGAAAAGAAAGTTTGTCGACTTGTAAAGTCTCTTTATGGATTAAAACAAACATCTAAGCAATGGCATGAAAAATATGATCATGCAATGCTTACTAATGGGTTTAAGAAAAACGAATGTGACAAATACGTCTATGTTAAAAACACTGACCAAGGATATGTCATAGTTTGTCTTTAAGTGGATGACATGTTTATCATTGGAAGCAGTCAAAACATGATCAAATCAATTAAGCAAATGCTTAACAAAAGATTTGATATGAAAGATATGGGGGTCGCAGATGTTATATTAGGAATGAAAATTACTAAAACATCTGACGGATATGCATTATCTCAATCACATTATATTGAGAAAATTCTTGGTAAATTTATCAAGGATGATATGAATTTAGCTAGAACACATGTAGACGTCAATCTTTATTTATCGAAAAATAAAGGTGATACAGTGTCTCAGTTAAAATACTCCCAAATCATTGGAAGCCTAATGTACCTAATGAATTGTACTCGTCCTGATATAGCTTATGCTATCAGTAAATTGAGTAGGTACACTAGTAACCCCGGATAAGACCATTGGAAAGCGATCATTCAGGTTTTTAGATATCTAAGATTCACTCGTGATCATGGTTTGAACTTTACTCGATATCCAGCAGTACTTGAAGGTTATTGTGATGCAAATTGGATATTGGATACTAAAGATTCAAAATCCACAAGTGGATATGTCTTTACTCTAGGAGGCGCTGCTGTTTCTTGAAAATCCACGAAACAAACATGCATCGCACGATCCACAATGGAATCCGAGTTCATTGCTTTGGACAAAGCAGGAGAAGAAGCAGAATGACTTCGTTACTTCTTAGAAGACATTCCAATGTGGCCCAAACCTGTGCCAGCTATTTGCATTCATTGTAATAGTCAATCTGCAATAGGTAGGGCACAGAATCATATGTATAACGGTAAGTCACGACATATTCGTCGTCGACATAATACCGTAAGGCAGTTGTTGTCAAATGGAATAATCTCAATAGATTATATAACATCTAAAGAGAATATTACGGATCCGTTAACAAACGATTTGACAAAAGAGCTAGTGTATAGTTCATCGAAGGGGATGGGATTAAAGCCTATTACATAAGAGTCGTCATAATGGTAACCCTACTTATATGACTGGAGATCTCAAGAACTAAGTTCAAAGGGATAACTAAGTTATGTATGGCTCGCCAGAAATCACCAAGGGATTAACATTCCCTATCCATTCCTATGGTGAGAGTGATATTTGCAACATGTGTTGTCTGCAGGAACATAAGGATAAGCTTTGCTTTTAATGATTACTTATATCTTGATTGAGGCATAAAATCAAGACGAGTATAAGGAGATACTTACAAATAGGAATCACCTATATGAGTGTTGAACTGGGGCCGGTTCTATGAGAATAAAGAGGCTAAATTCTCTAGAAACGCTTATGAAAACCAGGCGCGTTCAAGGCCAAAATAAACACAACAGTGAGAACCACGATGTGTTAGAAGATATTTTGTGTGAAATCTATTGTCTTGGCTTACACAAGCGGCTGAACAATTTAAGACATCGCGTCCATTGGTTAGCCAGTAAGTCCGATAGGTTATCACTGGGGAATGTTCAAGGCCGAAAGCTACCTATCCTGATGCAAGATATTTTCGACTTATACTCTTTCGATATAGTCTGCATATTGTTGCATTTCTGTTGTCATCAAATTCCATTCATGTGGGGGATTGTTGGAAATGGTTATAAAATTCTGGGTAAAACCATAATTTTTTCCTAAGTTTGGTTTATTTTTTAGGTGGGCCTCGTGCGTTGATTTACGCAGGTCAAAATGGTAGCGCGTTCTATTCTGTGTTGTGATTCACGTGGTATATTTGGTTGCTCAAAACCATTATCAAGTGAATGAAAAATTGAAGCCAAAGTATGCTCCATGGAAATGGAATTTTGGTGGAAAAATCCTTAAAGGTATTGAATATGGCTTGTACCACATTGATTTGGTGAGAAGTTTTGAATGGGTTTATAAGGCATGGGTTTGGTACTTGAGGTGTGCCCCAAGGGGTACCCAAGTGTTTTAGAGGGAGAGGTTATGAGCAAAATGGGCTAGACCCATTGGACTAAAAAATCACCACATATGCGCGTGGTGTGTGGTTGGGTTGGGCGTGTTCGGCCCAATACTAATCTTTTTGGACTAAAAACATTTGAATTTAATTTTATTTTTGGTAAAATAAAATTCAGAATTCAAATTAAACCAGAAATAAACTGGTCCGGTTTTATTGTATACCCAAACAGGGCCCTTCTAACAGATTCAAATCTGTTTAAATTCAAAACCAAACAGGTTTCATACTTGCTCAAATAGGTTTGCACCTATTTAATTTAAAATCTGCAGCCACCAATCCATCTATAAATAGGACATCCTTCATTTGGATTTTGTAACTCTAATTTCGTCCTTCATAATTCTGCAAATATTCTTTTCATATTGCTGTATTATTTTCTTCTGTGAGAGGGTATAAACACTTAGTGTGTTCGTTAGGCAAACAACTTGTAGTAATGCTATTGTTTGTAGTAGATCATTTTATCCTGGGAGATAGACGTCCAAATTCTGAAAGTACCGAGAAGAGGACGAATTTGTCTCAAGGACACAGTGTCAAACACTGGACTTGATCAGATTATAATTCTAAGAAATTAATCAAGTAAGTTGTTTAATTTATTATTCTGTTTATTTGTTTATTTAATCAGATTTTAATTTTATTTTTGTAACAAAATAAAATCTGTTTTTATTTATTTATTTTATTTCGAATTTGATTTTTGTAATCAAACAAATTCTCATTTCCTTTATTTCTTTTATATTCTGTTTGTTGTTAAGTACACAAACTGAATTAATTAATTACAGTGAAGATAGTCCTACAAGTAACTAAGGTTACACTAGTCAGGATAACGGTGTGGTGATAAAGGTGGTGATGTAGTGATAAAGGTGCAAGTGAGATAGAGAAGTCAATCATAAGTAGAGTGAAGTGGTGGGGTTGATGAACAAGGTGGTAAGAACGAGATGTGGATGCAGATGACAATTGTGAAAAAAAAGGTTGGTGGTAATGAAAAAGGCAGGAAAATAGATGGGATTAGTAGTAGTGATAGTGAAAGATGGAGCATGAAATGGGATTGATGGTGGCGGGTAGTGAGAAGAAGATAGGAAGAGCTAAATGCATCCAAAAAAATCGATCTACCCCTATTATATAAAGATTTTTTTTCCCTCTCTCTCGAGATGCAATAAATATGATTGGTTATCATTTTTTAAAAATACTTTTAAGAAAATTTAATTTTCTTATTTTTCGTATTTTTTTATTTTTATTGAATTTTTTTAATATTTTGAGTAATTTTTAAAATTTTTAGACATACCTAACATAAATATACCTAAAAAGTAAAAAAAAATTGAAAAAAAACTTTTAAAAATTCATTAAATATCAAAAATACAAAAAAAATATGAAAATTCAGTATATTTTTTTGTATTTTTATGTATTTATTAATTTTAAAAAATATTTTTTCACAAATTTTTTACTTTTTAGATACATTTAAGTAAGGTGCATCTAAAAAAGTAAAAAAAATATTTAAAATTTTAAAAACATTCACTAAAAACAAAAAAACACGAAAATGCCATAACCACTTCTAATCTCCAATAATTATTGTACGATTCTCGATGAGTGACACATTTTGTGATTCTATGAAAATCACCACAAGTGGTGAAAGTAACTAAGGTTACACTAGTCAGGGTAATGGTGTGGTGATAGAGGTGGTGATGTAGTGATAAAGGTGCAAGTGCGATAGAGAAGTCAATCATAAGTAAAGTGAAGTGGTGGAGTTGATGAACAAGGTGGTAAGAACGAGATGTGGATGCAGATGACAACTGTGAAAAAAAAGGTTGGTGGTAATGAAAAAGGCAGGAAAATAGATGGGATTAGTAGTAGTGACAGTGAAAGATGGAGCATGAAATGGGATTGATGGCAAAGGGTAGTGAGAAGAAAATAAGAAGAGCTAAATGCACCCAAAAACAATCGATCTACACCTATTATATAAAGATTTTTTCCCCCCTCTCTCTCTCTTGATGCAATGTAATTTAGATGTGAGAGGTTTTTAAAAAGAGAGCGCAAGATTAAAGGGTGAATTGACAAAATTATACTTCTCTATTTGTGTTTCTAAATAGAAAAGGATGAAGATCAATTTTGAAAATTAGGATTTAAATTGATAAAATTTAAAAGAAAAATTCACGATTTTATTTGTTATTAGAAATATTTTTTTTTTCCATAATTAAAAACTATCTATTTATTTTCTTTACTAATTTTGGCCTTTTATTATCGATAACGTCACGTCCCGATTGCATCGCTTGTCTGCTACAGTCTACAACTACCCAACATGTTCGACTCTAGACCAAAACGATTTAACCCAAATAATCTTCATTTGGTTAATCACGATCACCACGGTTGATAATAACGGGTCAGCTGTCGTGGAGATTGCACAGTCAACAGAATCAACGGCAGCCAGAGCGCCACGTGTATGACGCACATTACCTTTCAGTCAATGATCACCGCAGCAGCCCTATTCATAAATTCATAAATACGATCTATCCTGTACCAAACCTATCCAAAATTTCATATCACAGCTCTTTTCGTAGACTCTCTCTCTGTTCTCTCAATCGATCGAATCGATTCGATTCTTCAGATAATCAATCAATCTAATGGCGGAGAAGACTTTCAAGTACGTGATTCTCGGCGGTGGCGTCTCTGCTGTGAGTATCTTTCGTCGTTGTTTGCTCGATTGTTCAGTTATTGATTCACAATTTGATAGTACCTTCATCTTTGTGCATTTTTTCTTGATGAATTTGAATTGATAGTTTGATCCATGTTAATTGTGCGGAGATCTGAGATTTTCTCGATTTGAGTGTCGTTATGTTTCGTGGATTCTGAGGCACTATGAGTTTAGTTGCCGGGAAAGTGGAGAGAATCAAAATTTTAGTTGAATATTTAATTAGTTAGATAGCCAGTTGAAACTGAGAACCTTGCACTCATCTATGGACCTACTATAGTGAAGTCATGAATTGAGTTTTATTGGTAACCAAACAGGATGTTTGATTGATGGGTGATTACTGTTAGTGTTAATTCTATACGATTGGTTGTTTCTTGGGAAAATTACAATTACAGTGGTAATATCACAAAATATTTATAAATTCATGGGAAAGTTTATGACTTTTAATTATTAAAGTTGGTAAAGTTTACGACTGATTGGAAATTCTTTTTGAAAACTTGCATTGAATTGCAATTTCCCCTTGTTTTTTTTTTTTTTTTTCAACGGGCAAAATATACTACAAGAGGTAATCAAAGAATGATGAATCCTGGCTGGTTTGTCAACGTTTGGTATAGATTGGTTGACATTGATATTTTGATATTTATCTCTCCATGGAGTGAAAGAATAAGTTTTGAACTCGTACAAATTGAATGGTTTTGTTGGTTTTAGTTGATGTCGTAAAATTGTGAGTTTTCTTAATTCATTTATTGTAGAAGACTTGGTGGCAGAGTTAAATTAATAAACAATATGGTTGCATTTGCAGGGTTATGCGGCTAGGGAATTTGCCAAACAAGGAGTTAAGCCAGGCGAGCTTGCAATTATTTCCAAAGAGGGGGTATGCTATTTTCACCTTTCTATGATTTCTTGTTTTGATACTTGTTTCATTGTTTGTTAATTGTACATTTACATTGTTTGGAGTTATGGAAATAAGCTTCTCCACAAAAAAATGAGTGGAAGGCTCTTTACCTAACCATCTTTCCTAGGCCAGGGATGGCAACACAGTGGGTTTTTGTGTGTTTCTCTTTCCCCGCTCCTGCACTCTGTCACTTACCCAAATTTCTTTCCAGAGCAAGTACTGGGGTTAGGTTGGGTGCCCACATAATTTTCTGTTTTTGAGTAATTTTTTTAATTAATTAAAAATCATTCTCAGCAACTTAAAATACTGTATATCAAATTTTCATATCACTTGCTGTTCCCTCCTAAACCCATTGCGGATGGGAAAAAATAACCTGCTTCATCAGGCTGGAAAAAACCCATCCCATTTAGGGTGGAAAGGGTCAGGTACATGTGGGGCAAGCCAAAATTATCATTCCTATCATAGACCCTGTTGTATTATACTTAGACTTCATAATGTAGAAAAGTACAAATACGACATGATACAAACTCGTTGATATAACAATTTTATATAGAAAAGGTTATGACATAATATGGAATGATAAAAAATAAATTATAGATATATAAGTACATAGAAGTAATAACAATTTCTTCATTTTTGTATTATAAATTCATTTATATTTTATTATATGAAAATAATAAGAATTGTTTTCTGCGTTTTATTTATTCACGTCTATTTCAGAAAGCTCATTCATAAACGGATTGTGACTTTTAAGCTGTTGAATTCCCAAAATTAAAAAGCCTAAAGGGTAGGGAATAATAGGTAGTTTGACTTGAATAATTGGCTCTCAACTGATTTTCTTCAAATTTGTGGTGTGTTTTATTTGTGTCTAAGCAATGGACATGTGTGTGTCCCTAGCATACCAGGTGTGTTTGGTTCTAGAAAAAATCAAAAAACAATAGGACATGTTTGGATGTGTGGCTTATATGTGTCAAGGAGTGTCTGACAAGTGTATGACATGGACACTACACCATTTTAGAAGCGTTCTTACTTTTAGACTACCTTCATATTGTGCTTGACATGAAAGATGAGAGTCGAGTAGTTAGTTTGAGGGTTGTTCATGTGTAGTGAAATTGTTGTGTTCTGCTGTTGGTTCTGCTGGAATGTGAGCTATTGGGTTGGGACAACAATTACGTTTTTTCAAGAAAAGAAGAGTGCAAAAAGACTATTTGATTTGATTGTGGAATCTACATGAAATACACAATTGAGGCAGTTTTAATTTTCCACCACATTTCATCCACTAAACCAAATTGAGGACAATCAACCTGTTCTGTGCCTCTGCTAAATAAAAGGGAGGGAATGTACCCATCAATGCCTTTTAATGATCATTCTTCTGTTCATCCACTCTTGATCAGTAAGTATCTTTATAATCTACAACTTAATCAATTGTCTATGTTCTTAGGTATTGGGAAGAAATAAATGGTATCATAAATCACATTTTTTCTACCGTCCAATCTGGACTGTTACTTGTTTATTTTAACACAGCTTTTCATATTTTTTTGACTGGGAAATTCAATATGTTGCGAAGCTTGGATAAAATGTGAAATTAACTGGTTTTTAAGAAAAATTGCCAATGGCTGTCATATTTTCATTTAAGGCAGTTGGAGCTTCAACTGCTAGATTTAAATATTTCTTAATATTTGAACTAGTGATGCATTTATGCTAACACATGCTCTTTGGCTATTCTAGGTTGCTCCTTATGAACGTCCAGCACTCAGCAAGGCATACCTGTTTCCTGAGTGTAAGTCAATTTATCTTTGTTCCTGAAGTACAAGCTAAGTGAATTTCTGTGTACAGTTATGTTCTTCTCCTTGTGATGTATTAACTCTTTCCATACTAGACTCCTTAAAACCACCTTTAGATCAAAGTATTTGGCATGATTGAAGTTGACTAAGTTTTGTGACACTGTAATGTTGATGCTACATTTGCTTAAATATGATGTTTGCATGCTTCTTACTTGATTGGCAGCTGCATCTCTGTTCCAATTGATTTGTTTGCTATTTTTGTTTCTTTATAGCAACTTCACAATGCAATCTGTTTTGCAGCACCTGCAAGACTTCCAGGGTTTCATGTCTGTGTTGGAAGCGGGGGAGAGAGGCTGCTTCCGGAGTGGTATGCACAGAAAGGTGATACTTATTTACACACATTTCCCAATTTTGATTGATACAGAATTATTGTAACATTGTTGGCCAGCGTTTTATTAATACTTCTGCCTATGGAGATTTCTTTCAATAAGAGACATCCTCAAAAGAGTGAATTCATTATTGAAGCTCAACTTATTGTTACAGGAATTGCATTGATCCTCAATACAGAAATAGTGAAAGCAGATCTTGCTACAAAGACTCTCGTTAGTGCTGCTGGAGAAACTTTCAATTATCACTTCTTGATAATCGCAACTGGTTCTTCAGTAAGTATCATTTCTCTGAAGATTTACATCAGACTGAATGTTTCCTGTATTCTCTTCATGTTCCATATCTAAAATCAACTGTTTTTTACTTTTTCTGCAGGTTATAAGGTTGACAGACTTTGGTGTACAAGGTGCTGATGCCAAAAACATCTACTATTTGAGAGAAATTGATGATGCTGATAAACTTGTAGAAGCAATTCAGGCGAAGAAAAATGGAAAGGTTGTGATTGTTGGAGGAGGATACATAGGTCTTGAGCTGAGTGCAGTGATGAAGTTAAACAATCTCGATGTCAACATGGTTTACCCAGAACCGTGGTGCAGTAAGTAGACACTCATGATATGCTTTTATATGAGTTGTAAATTGTAATCCACTTGCTTCATTATTTACGTCAAGGTTACATATAATGTTGTTCGAAGTTACCATAGTTATCAATACTTTACCAATTAGGTTACTGGTTTTGCTATCAGTCCAATACGGAAGGATCAAAATTTTGTTTCTATGTTGTTTGTTTCAATTGGCACGGAAATGAAAACATTTCAAGTGGGACAAAAGAATTTTAAAAATACATAAAAATGTTTGGTAATATAAATTGAAATCCATCTAAATGTATAAAGTCTAATAATTGATTAATTAACCCTGTTTGGTTGAGTTTTCTTAATCTGTTTTCTGTTTTTTCTTGTTTTCAAGAAGTAGAAGCTAGATTGACCAAAATAAACACCAAAAAAAAAATATTCTCAAAATTTCAAAATAGTTTTGTCCCCCGAAAAGAGAAAATCATATGAAAATGATGATTGTTTTTTATTTTCATTTTTTTACCAAACTAGTTTTTTGGGGGAAAAAAAACAAATCAGAATTTGAAAAACTCAAAACAATATTGGAACAGCTCGGTATGACTTGAAATTAAGGGAAATAGCCTGATATTTCTGAAATATTCTGGGATAGCTCAAAAAATTATCCAAAACAGAATTGAGTCCCCTTTGTACCATTTTCTTGCCTGTACAATATGTAGCAGGCCATACTTGCCAGTGTGGAACGGGATTCAAAATTATGGAACTTTTTGCCTTTCTTGGCCCTGGCAGGCGGATCCTTGGTTCGCTGACATTTTTGTGTGGTTGCAGTGCCTCGGCTTTTCACAGCAGGTATAGCTGCTTTCTACGAAGGTTATTATGCAAATAAGGGAATTAAAATTATTAAGGGAACTGTAGCTGTTGGGTTTACTGCTGATGCAAATGGAGAGGTTGTACTCATGTAAAACCTTTATTACCTGTATGTAATCATGATGTCATTATGGTTTACAGAGCATTCTGAACTGCAATCTTGGGTCTCACATTCAGGTAAAGGAAGTAAAACTTAAGGATGGTAGAGTGCTGGAAGCAGACATTGTTGTTGTTGGAGTTGGAGGTAGACCTCTTACCACCTTATTCAAAGGACAGGTTGAAGAGGAGAAAGGTGGAATTGAGGTTTGTGTTCCAATCATTTGGTTATTTTCACTCATAAATTTCTGTGTTGTATCTTTTATGCAAACTTCAATATTAGTGGACTACTCAAGTTTTATACAGCATGACATGTATGGGGCGTGTGATATTCACATGAGACATACATTGGGACGCTTTCTTAACAAGACAGCCTAAAGGAATGAAAGAACACATCTAGTTTAGTCAAATTTCCATTCGGTCACTTCTTTTTTGCTCCTTTTATTTCATGGATATTTCAATAGGAATTTAAGTATGTACGTCTACTAACTACTTTTTGCATAGGAAGTTCTTTTTATCTTAATGATGACAAGAATAAACAGGCCATGGTTAGTGAATAGTATAACTTTGATGCCTCTTTGTCATGAGATTTTGGGGCTGGTGAATTTGTTGTATAGAATTAATCTTGATATGTTAAATTGTTTTTCCTGAAAAGTTACGGACCCTTTCTAGTTGAGCTATCAAGAGAATGAAAAACATGATACTACATTTTTTTAGATGATGACACGCCAGCATATTTGTTTGTATCTTCACTGGTTAGGTTATGATGTTGCCTTTCTAAATTGCAGACCGACAGTTTCTTCAAAACAAGTGTTCCACATGTATATGCCGTGGGGGATGTTGCTACTTTCCCGATGAAAATCTACAATGAAATGCGAAGGGTTGAACATGTTGACCATGCCCGTAAATCTGCTGAGCATGCTGTGAAGGTATGAAGTTTTTCATAGTCCTATGTTATGAAATGCTCAAGATTGATAATTTGTTTTGTGGAGGAAAAATTGGCAAAATCCTAAAAGTTGAAGTTACTTGGCAAAACTATTCTTTTTCCACAAGTCGTTTCCCCTAATTTTAAACAATTTGGTTTTGTTATTCTTCAAAACCTAAAATGTATATACAGATTAACATTCACCACCAGAGTCGAGAATATTGTAATTTAGAACTTTTTAAGCTTGGAAACTTCACCCACCTGCTTTTTGATGACGTATTTTGGATTGTAGAATAATTAGAGCCTAATTGGTAACGTATATGTTTATATTTATAAAAGTTTTGAAACCTATAAACTAAAACCCTTTTGGTATTTATTTTCATTTTCAAAAACTTGTAAACAATTGTTAAAATTTACGAATTTTTGTAATCATAAAAAAGTTTTGTTTAGAAGAAAAGTTCATTTCTCTCACCCCCTGTCCACCATCCACCACTTATCACCACCAATGCTAGTGGCCTCCTCTGACCATCACCTCTGGCTGTTGCCAACCACCTCCAACTGTCGCCAATCAGCTCCCACCAGTGACTAGTTACCATCTCCAACCATCAACAGCCACCTTGGACTCCCAACTTCTGCAATTGACAACCAACTCAGGTCACCAGCTCTGGCAGCCAACAACCACCTTTTGTGGCTGACAACCACTCGGGCCACCATCTCCAATAGTCTACAACCACGTTCGACTACCACTTCCTTCCAGCCACTTGTTTCACTTGTTTTCAAAACAAGTTTTACAACGTGTGTACCAAACACGTTTTTTGTTTTCTTTTTTTTTGGTCAAAATTAGACATAATCATTGTAATAAAAAAACTGTATACCAAAGGGCACCTTATTATTTGAAATTTCAAAGGGACATTTCATGTTTAAAGTGTGAAGCACTTCAAATGCTTCCATTCTCATATTTTTTGCTTTGTTTGCTCCAGAAATTCCTCCCCACGTTGATTTTTGTTGTGCTCTTTTACTCTATGAAATCCATCTGTCAATAATGTTGAAATGTGCGGTAATGTCACTTGATTGAGTTTGAACCAAGAAATGACTCTCTGTCTAATTGACGCAGGCTATATTTGCAAGCACAGAAGGGAAGTCAATTGAGGAGTATGACTACCTTCCATTCTTCTATTCCCGTTCCTTCAATCTGTCATGGCAGTTCTATGGCGACAATGTTGGCGACACTGTTCTATTTGGAGACAACAGCCCAACATCTGAAAATCCCAAGTTTGGTTCATACTGGATCAAAGACGGGAAGGTAGTGGGTGCTTTTCTGGAGAGTGGGACTCCTGAAGAAAACAAGGCTATTGCCAAAGTTGCAAGGGTCCAACCCCCAGTTGAGAGTTTGGACCTATTGGCAAAGGATGGTCTCACCTTTGCCTGCAAGATTTAAAAATGCCAGGACTCGGAGGATGTCAGAACGACGGGTTTCTATCGTTTGCCCGGTTTTCATTATTTATCAAGCCTTGGCGATGTTGGTATTATATTATATAAACTGATGGTTTGTTCATTTGCTAGTCATGATAGTAGTCGACTCAAGACTTTATACTCTAAAAGATGTTTTTTTATGGTTTATCTGTATACTCTGTCTGTGAGTTTTACAGCTTTGTCTGGATTGTTACTTGTTTGAGCCATGACTGATAACAATCAGATCCAGATTTTTTTGGATGATGGGTTTGTGTGGTAGAGATTGAATTGGTGTAGTGTGGAGTCCACATATCAATAAATTTAAGTTGCAAATTAATATTTTTTTTAAAAAATTCGGAATAAAATTTATAAATTTGTACTATTATTTCTGTTCTATCTACTTGAATTCTCAATCTTGTGTTTAAAATGTGTATGATTTTGGTACGTAAGCAATGATGGAAGTGAAATGCAAAGCTGACGCATGTGGGGTCATTCAAGACTCGAAGACCTCGTGGCTAGACTTGTGTTGCAATGTTATTCCCCCCTTCTGGGTTTTGGTTGTTGAAGAAAAAGTTAGAGCATTCCTTTGACAATTACTAGCCACTTCTGTAGCAGTGTGGACTGGGTTGAACTTCTAGTGGGGGTGGAAAATGTGAGATTAGCAAACACAAATAGGAGAATATTTTGAGATTCTTAACAAAAATTTTCATAATTTGATCGATAGTAATGTGATATAGTAAGGGTCAGTTTTTAATTTGTTATATACTCAATTATATAAAATCTAACTCTCTTGTCATATCATTATGAGTAAATGTAGAGATTTAAACTGTAAGTCTCTAGTATTGTTATTATTTTACTGGAATTAAATGTTTCAGAAGAATCAATCAGACAAAGTATTAAGTTCACTCTCCATAAATGTGAATGAAGAAAAATATAGTATAAATAGCAATGATCTTTAGAAAAAAATATAATGAGTCCCGTATGTTTATTTTAATTACACTTTCATTTAATTAAAGGTAATAAAATTGATGTAGATGAAGTGAAAATGCAATAAAAATAAGGTAAAATATAACGATAATTTTTTTTCATTCATATGAGTGATGAGTAATTAAGGAGAAAAGAACTAAATATTATGTGAATTAAAACTTGAACAACTTCCAATTTAATAATATCAAACACTTGAGATGCAATGTATTTTCTCTAAACTTCTAAAAAAGTTAGTGTACTTTACCAAAAAATTATGAAAAAGACTATAGTACACACTCCTTAAAGAGTGTATCATATGCACCTATAACTAAAAAAAAATAGTATAACTTTATGTTTTCTGAATCATAACTTAAAAAAAAAAAAAAGTCATAACTAAATACTACATGAGACATAATAAAAAATCTTATAACTAAAATATTACAATAACTAAAGAAGAAAATGGATCGAAATTATAAAAAAAAAAAAAAAAGTAATTAGACATGCATATGAACAATTTCAAAAAGCTTATATAATAAAAATTTCCAAAAATTATATTGCGAATGTGAAGTTCCATCTGCCTCTTAAGCATTTAACATACTCCATGAGAGCCACTGAACTCTATCAGAAACATATGTACCATAAAAATCTCTTGTTTTTGTTTTTCATGTCTATTATTATGCCAATGGGGGCCTTTTGTCCCTAAAAGTTGAATGAAATGTATACAATGATTAATAATATAATGTTCTTTTCCACAGGATGCATATTTTACATGGTCCCCAACACAAATAGATAATTTAATATGAATGTCTCACACCCACTCTTTCATAGGTCAAGATATTTAATATTTATATTTTATATACAAGGGGTTTTGTCATTTATTTTGAATGTCAGAGAAGTATGCTCATATGCTTACACATATTATAATATTTTCTAATTTGTTTTGTTTTGTTTTTTCACTTTTGGTTATGTTAATTTGAAGATCTCTTAGTAGGGTTGGTGTTTCTTTTTTCTTTTCTTTTTTTTTTTGATCAGCCTCTTGTTAGGGTTTGCTACTTCTGGTTTTTGCACTTTTGTCTGTGGAATGATCAATGAACTAATAATGTTCATCAAAGGAATAATATATATATACACACACATATGTCACATATATTCTACCTAATGTAGGGGACTAGTTGTTGGGCCAATGCAGACGGGACTCATCAAGTATTTGTGAAACTTTAGCTCAACTTGATTCATCTCGATTACATAAACAATATGAGCTCAAGCTTGAAAGGAAAAATTAAATTTAGATTAATGTAAATATTAAAAGAAGAGAAGATGAAATTATAAATAAAATATAAAAGAACACTTATCTTATTAATAAATTTATCAATCAAATTTGTAAACTCAAACAACTACCCAACATAAATAAACAAATAAAATAAAATAATGAAAATATATTTAATATATTATTAAAAATAAAAATCAATTTATATACTTTGTGTTCATGAGGCTTATCAATCGAAACTTAGGTTTACTTGAGCTTGACTAATTACTAAAAGAGCCTCAAAATTGAGCTCACATTTCTTTATTTAGCAAAAGAGTGGAACTCAAACAAATTTTCATCATGCTGAACTCAATTAAATAAATCGATTCATTTGCAATCCTAGGCCAAACCTTTGACTTGATGAAGTTGAGCAATTTTGTGGGTTAAAAAGCTAAAGTGTGACTTGATACCCTCCATTTTTCTGATTGGCTTGAATAATGAGGTCCATAACACTTATATCAGTGTTTAAGAGACTATAATTAAATAATTGATAAAAGGTATCACGTAACTTCTCACCACGAAAACCTTTTCGATGAATTGGCCCTGAAAGCCCCCAACCACTTTAGGAATATTACATATTTAGGTCTCGTTTGGAAATAGATTATTTTAGTAATTTTTTGATTTTTTACAAAAAGATGTACAGAAAAATAAAAAGAGTAACGTGAAAACTTGTAGTAATTTTTTAATTTTTTGGCTAAAATACTTAATCCCCAAACGAAACTTTGACAACATAATAGGCAATTTTGTTGTCGCTATGCAAAGGAAGCCAAAAAAAGAAAATGCAAATTAATAAATTTTGTTTTTTCTTACTCACAAATGACATATGGCCAAAAAGTTTCATATTGGGAATGGTGGTAATATAATAAGGACAACTCAACCACACTTAAATAAGAAAAAAACAGTAAAATTTTGATCATACATGCTTGAGTTTGGTAAATGAAGCCACACATTGTTGCATTAGTCAAGAACTAGAACTTTGCTTCACATGACTCCTTTCCAATACCATGCTTGCTTCTGGATCACTTGAAAGCCTATTTATCATAGTTGCAAGAGGAAAATTTTTAACATACATAATTTTTATACAAAAAAAAAAAAATATACAGAATAACGACGTGACAATAACATTTATACAATTATAACATAATATTGAGATTTTTGGTTTCTAATGAATGGTTATAAACAAGTCACATTATTCTACATTAAATTTTTATATAAAAATTATGTTTATATAACATCACTTGCTATAAAATTTCTATTTATAAATGTCTCCACAATAAATTTGATTTACTTAAAAAAGATGGTGAGACTGTTTATTATTTTGTGGGGAACCAATTTATTATAATAATAATGAAACAAGTGATATGATAGGGGCATCATTTGAATTTTACTTCAAGAACTTGTGAAGAAATGATTGAAGGGTCTACATAATACCTACTAAGGTCAAGTTTGGGAAGACTTAAAAAGTGTACTTTTTGTCTTTTTAGACTAAAAAATTGAGGTTGAAAATATGGATGTTGGGGTTAACTTTTTGACTTTTTATTGAAAAATGTGTAATAAAAAATTGTAAAAATTAATTTGTAGGGAAAAATTTGAATTGAGAGTTATGCAGCCGTAATTGTTGATTTTTGATGAATAATGTTAACTTTTTAACTTTTTGAGTAACTTTTTTGACGTTTGGATCTTCCCAAATGCCCTAATTCTACATAAAATTTTGCATACATACATCCATGTAGAGTGCATAAAAAAATGAGTAAATCATTCGGCTAGAGAAAGTATGGTTTCAAAACCACATCACAAAATTGAAGGCAAGGATGGTGACTAAGAACGAAAAGGGTATTGACATCCATAATTGCATCAAAGTTATTATGTTATTAATGTTAATGTTTCAAATTATATAGGCTTTGCCCTTTCTAGGGCTTTTTTAATATGGTCACACCAATATTTTACAAAAGTGGTATAAGGGCATATAATTTAAAACTTAAGACAAAATTCCTAATTTTTATTATTATTATCACAATTAGTGTGATAAAAGCCTAACGAGGAGTCAAAATACTCAATCACATTATGAAGATATTATAGAGTTATAATATCATTATTATAAATGTTTTAATACCAGAAATTGTATAAAGTACAACTAGATGTTTTAACAGTTACAAAAAGATGAGGTTAATATTTTTTTTATTTATTATAATGATAAGAATATCCCTTTTTATAAAAAATAAGTTTTACTTTTAAAATTGTTGGGTAATATGTTTAATCATTTTAATAAATCGAGCTCACTTTCTATTTAGTGTGAGTTAACTGAGTGTCATAATTTTTATTAATACGTGGAACAAAAAAACTCTCGTAATTAATTTAAAATATGACACTACATTGGGAGACCGTTTAAACTTATTGCGTAATTAAAGATCAATTTTAAAAAATGAACTATTAAAGAGTTACAATATACAAAAACCATTCAAAACTATCAATAAATTTACAAAAACGAAGTTAAGTGAATTCATACACATGAGATGTTCAGCAGTCTAAAAGGACTTATGAAGACAGCATCACATTCACATCATCATCGTAGCAAGCATGATTGAAATATTTTGAACACTCGTACTGAACATATATGCAATGGAGTCTATAACAAGAATTTTCACCGCTTATTTATCGCCTAGTGTAAGATAATTCTTCCAAGCATCTAAAATATTCAACAAAAGTCAAAGAAGGAATTACTCCCAAATTAGTCTCACTTCATTTGATTCTTACTACTTAAATCAAGTCCGCAACGTCTTTCAAACGTTATCGCTTTATCTGAAAATACAAACGTGAGCTAGCTGGCGGGTGTGTGCTAGATACCTCTCCGATACCTAAGTCAGCAAAATAGACAAATAGGCAAAAGCTCTATGTATTCGAGAATCAAAGTTGTGTTACCTCTCTGTAGGTGATGTTGTGAG